TTTTAAACTATGTAAAACTTCATTAACTAAAGGGATTGAACCTGCAACAATTGGAAATGCGTATACTGAACCAGGACTTAAAATAGATTTTAATGCGACCAAGATTCCATAAGCATGAAATAGTGGAGAAGTTGATAAAATAATATCATGAATTTGATTTGATTCGGTTGCATTTAAAAAATAACGATTGGGTAGAGGAATCAATTTAGGAAATGAGGTTGAACCGGAACTATGAAAAATAGCAATAGTTTTGTCATAAGGATTTTCATCCAATTTTAGAACAGGGGCGAAATAGTCAATTGCATCATTTTTTAAATTATTAGGAAGTTGAAAAATGTTGAACGATTGTGGACGTTGAGAATTGATTTTATTTTGTACATTCAGTGAAATTTTTAAAAGTTGAGGATCGTAAATAAGTATACGCGATTTAACTTCTTGAAGTAAATTAATCAAAGCAGGTTCAGAATTTCGAGGGCTAAGGAATAAGATTTGAAAACCCAATTTCCATAAGGCCATAAAGTTAAACAAGTATTCAGGATCACTTGGTGCCAAGTAGCCAATCACGCTATTTTTGCCCAAATTTTCATTCATCAAATGTTTATTCCAATAATTAACGTATTTATTGATAATAATATCCAAATCTTGAAGATTAATTTCTTCATATTTTGTACCGTTGGGGATCAAAAGAACTTTATCTTTTGGTCTAGTTGATACTTGATGTTGATAAGCTTCTAATAAACTTTGGTATTTGCGAGACATTTTTGTTTGAATCTTTGGCTTTGATTGCAGATTGTAAGAAATTTTATATATGTTGTAAGTGGTAATGGAATTTAAGTGGATTTGGAATTTCTTACGTAGGATTTTAAGTACCGTAAAAGTGCATATACAAGATCTCCCCATATATCAGACCCACCCTCATTTTTACTAATTGTTTTCTTTTTTTTTTACTAATTAATTTTTTGGTGGGAAGTAAGAGACCCCGGGTCTTGTATATGCACTTTTACGGTAATTTTTAAAAGTGAATCACGAATGGCTAATTTAAGAGAGTTTAATATTGTGGTTTTTACAGAA